GTCACACAATACCATCAATTTCATGAACTTTTTCATTTCAAAACTCACGGGCGTGTTCACTAGGACAGAAAGCGACTTTTCGCGTTTCGCAGCGCGAAACATTTTTCGCTGCGGGAACTCGGGTCCACTGATGATGCGGTGGACCTGAGGTTCCCGCAGCGAAAATGTTTCGCGCTGCGAAACGCGAAAAGTCGCTTTCTGTCCTAGTGAACCACACCCAAAACTCGCATTACTTACGCTACTACCTAAAGGCACGAGTCCTGATTAGCACTTTGTAGCACTGCTTTCACGAGTGGGATAAGACTCCTCATGCACTACTGTCGCGACTAAGAGGTGACTACAAGAGGGTTAAGGTGCTGTCTTTACAGCTACGCCCGCTGCCGTTTCATCGTTTCCGCATACACTCATTCTCATACGACGTGCTTCGTCCAGCATTCTCTCCCTCTTTGCTCTGTGTCTCTCCGTCCTATCTCAGTAAACCTCACAAAGAGGGAAGAAGGTCTCATTTCTTTCAAAGGAGAAAAGCAAAAGGAAGTTCAGAAACGGAAGAGTCTCCCATGTTGGAAACAATGAAATTTCATATAAAATTCTTAGTTTTCGCAAATGCGGTCTCCAGAGCGTAGATCGTTAGAACGGAAAGTTTGTTCGCTTTTCACAGCTGCGAAACTTTGCTGCAGGGACATCAGGTGCACTCATGGTGAGGGGTGGACCTGGAAATCCTGCGGCGAAAAAGTTTTGCTCTGAGAAAAGCGAAAAGTCCTAGCGACCCACCACCTGATCTCTAGTGAAGAGGAATTACTCGAGTTAGTTTGTCTATTCCAGCTAGTTAGAATTCAATCTCTTTGCTTCAAAAAAGACGTCATAGACAAGCTACTTGAGAATATTCTTTCAGATTTCCGAGTCAACATGGGAAAACACAATACAGACCATCAATTCGATTTTCGCCGATGCCGAAAGGGTACGATATTTCCTTATTCAATGAGTTTGAAAAGATATTACCTGCCATTTGGTATTGATCTTCTCTACGTCATTATTGACTGCAGCTCCTCTTTTTAGATATGCTTCGCTACAATCCTTGAAACGGTGTTAGGCTGCGCGACGTGCTATTGCTCTCGTTTAGTGTCAGACACCATCTATCAGAAGAAGGTTCATACTAAATTCCTCCGTTCGGACTTGTAAACGCGAATATACGAACCGTTGCTTTTAGATGAAAAAACTCAGTGAATTTTTGAATCAGGAGAATCAACAAACATATAATCCAGCTGGATTTCACATTCTCAGTCCAATGGAGAGAGGTCTTCGTACGGTAGGTTCTCAATACAACATACATTTAGGTAATTCACGCTTATTTCGTTGTTTTGTTTACATTTCGTTGATTTGTTCCATTTT